TTTTTTTTAACAAAAATAAATATTTTTTGTGACAGTATTTATTAAATAAATCGTCTGCCTCTGTCGCGCTACTGTTTTTATATATTTATTTAAAATAAAAAAATAGAAATAAAAATATAAGCACACGCAGTTCTCAATATATTTTACTTTTTTGTAAACAAAATGAAACGATTGTTCACTTCCTTTGTAGCAAGTGGAAAGAAAACGAAGAAACTCGTTGAAACGGCAAAATTTTTGGGGTGGCTACTAATAATGTCCTTAGCTCGCCGGTCGTCAAAGCGCGTCTTTCTGCTTACTCCGATCAAGTTATCACGAAGAATGAGAAAAATTAATAAAATGAATCAACAACCGGCGCCGTGGGGCGCGCGTCGTCAGGCAAAAATTAGCTAAACGGATTCTTGCCCGACGAATCCGCTCGATTTCCATGGCTCGATTCTGCGCCTCTCGTCCTGATGAATCTAATTTCGCGTTGAGACAGCGCTTAAGCCTTCATAATTCAAGATCTCTACGCGTAGAAAGTACCGGTAGGTTTATCAAATCTTTTTGCGCTTACGCGATTGCGCGGAAATAAAATCTTCTCTCGTCAGATAAATGAATATTGTCATCATTTTTAGAAGAGTTGCACGCTTAATTTTGGCAAAAAAAAAAGTATATTTCTTTCATATTTAAAATGAAAGAAACCATTGTCGAATGACATAACTATTTTTTGTTATTTTCAAATCAATTACTAAAAACAATTTTATCATTATACTTTTCGAGACTACAAATTCCCTCAATTAACCGTAAGCATATAATTATCATATGAAATCTCCGGCAGCATATTTCAAAGGCAGACGTCGCGATTGAGAGACGAACGACCGAGGCGAGAGGGACGATAAGTCGGGAAGTCGGGGATCGACTCGCAGCTATACGGCGCGTAGTCGCGTTATTAGCCGCGATAATTAACGTCCCACCTCTCGCGTCCTCCCTGCTTCCCTCCCTCCCTTCGTCCCCGGCACAATCGTTAGCCTCTAACAACCTGGAATTTCGGTCTCGCCACGTAGATTATAGCGACAATTAGCGCGGGGTACACCGTGACGAGATTTCTGACATATTCTTCCCTCCCCGCGCGTCCGCGCCCCTCTCGCGTCCGATCGCGGTATACCGGGACGGGAGAGGAGACCGACGGCAGAACCGGATGACTGTAGGGGGACCTGACAGGCCTCCATATCGAAACCTGGTAGAGTGTATAACGAGGAAGCGAGCCGCTCCTGGCGCACAGCAAAAACACTGCGAAGTGCTGCGGCGCGGCTTAATTGCTTAATCAGACGTAGTAAATCTTGCGACACAGGCATTTACACGCGATGCGATATAATATAGAAACTCCTCTCAGAGATGTCTCCTCGCGCCGCACCCATCTAGTTCGCGCATATTCCATCGATCGCTCTATTAAGGAAACATCGTCTCGGACAAATCATGCGCTAATGTCCGAACAACTAACGCTTCTTATTCTCAGTTACGCGAAGATGATAGGCTATCGGCAATTATCACATAATCCGCCGATTCAACGCGCGAAATGATATATATTCATATCCGCATATCTCGGTTATTTGCGTAATTAATGTACCGAGTAATTATGCGGCATTGATATTAATGACACGATTGATTTAATGACACGATTTACGTTTTCCATGTGTTATGTTTTCTACGCATGTGGAGATTTTCCGATCGTCACGGTAATCAAATAGCTGCTCGGCTGAATAACGGAGTCGGATAAAGATCGCGATTACACGGCGACGCGACGGGCGAGGCTCGCTTCTCATCGAAGAGGAAAAACCGCGATTTTCTTTTGTACGCCGAGCGCTAAAGACTGATCCTTTAGCCCCGGTAACACGACGCTCGTTTGTGGTCTCGTTAAGAGAACACCCGGTATATTAAGGGATAACCGTAACCGGTGATGTAATGCAACACCGCGGTCCTGATCCTGATCCTTGAATGAGATGGTATCCGTCGTTCTGCACACGATGCGTATATTCGATGCGCATATACCTGCCCGCAGTTTACCGCACGCATGTATGATGCGCGTATTATAGTCAGGTCGAGCATCGAATAATCCCGGTATGCTTCTGCAATAATGCGCGAACGGACACTTATCCGCTATCTAATTCCTTTTCTTGCGATGATGACGTTATCTACATATTTACGTAATTCACAAATAGAGTATTTCTGAAAAAAGAAAATCGAGTAAGGAAAATGAGAAACTTCGAGTAATCTTTTTTCCGCGAAAACTTCAATGTGAGAAGTGCGCATCTATTTCATGAATGTGCAAAATGCCATTTCAAATATTTATTCCTCTCTTGCGTTTAGTATTTGAAAGTACACGTCCTCATTTGTCAATCTCTCATTTCGGAGTTATTGCGCGATATGCATAACATACCATCAGAAGAACTGCACGCTATAATAAATTTTTAAATTAAACGGGCTTCAAAACTTTTTGTCGGCCGTCTGGCGAAAGCGTTTGTTCGCGCGGATGAAATTTGAAAAACGATTTCGCTCGCAACTCGTCCACGTAATACGCGACGGCATGTCGCGTTATCGATGTTCGCGTTACAATTTTTACATTTGAATTTTGACAATGACGATATCCGCGCCTCGGGCCATGAAAGCGTTACCCCTATCGCGCGCAATGATATCCCCCTAGTCGGTCACTGGTGCATGAAACAGTTAAGCATCGACAATGTAAGCCAATCAAGGGGTGGGTACATAAGGGGTGTATCAGAGAACGAGCCGCGGTAATCACCCGGAATTGCGTTAAATTTAAATTTTTACTCCCGCGCCCGCAGGGCCTCGCATCTTGGTCTTTTGAACCTTGGCGGCTCGCTAAAGAAGATGTATTCGAAAGATTTGCTAAGAGACATTTCTAAATCTCGGCTCTCTCAATTTTAACTCTCTTTTGTTGATATATGCATTTGGCAATTAAATACATTTCAAATATCTTACTAGCAATTTATCAAACTTTATAATGCTTATTTAAATTATTGCTGATAATTATTTATCAGACAAATAGCAATTTGCATATTTTTAAGGTTTCAATATTTTCACACACGTTTATGCGCTCAAACTTCAAAGAATAAGTTAGAAGAACATTGTCTATTTAAATTTGAGAAACTCCGACTTGAGCTATGACAATTCCCGTTTAGAATCGTTTCTACAATGTACCCCACGGCACGAACTCCGGTTAGATTCCCTTTAGAGTGGCTTGGCAAGCCCCACGGGGGTCTCGAGAATATTACGGAGCAACAAAATAATAACGCGCGCGGCGGTGGAGAGGGGGGGGCGGACAACAGAAGGGACGGATGCGGAGGGCCGTAGGCAGAGAGGGCGAGGGGGAGCGACGGAGACTCTAGGGCGCAGCCAGCCAAACATATACGACGACTAAAAGGCTTACGGGGTAATTTGCGACGGCTTAAGGCCAGGCCAATCTGATCCATCCTGCGTATACACGTGAAATCTTATACCCGGATCGCGGCGTGTACGATGTTCTTCGTGCCAGAGGAGACAAAAAGGCAGCGGAAGAGATAGACGGCGAAAAGAGGAAGCAAGAAGTCGCGACGGAAGAAACGGAGAGGGAAGAAACTCTTTGAAAAACGATACAGCGATAGCTCAATAGGGCCTCCCGCACTTTCCGTGTCTTTTTTCTCTCCTCTCGCCCGCCTGCTACGCTCCTTCGCGATCGCCACGACGGTCGCTCGATCGAGAGTTCGCGGTGAACACGAGCTATGGACTTCACGGCCTGTCGCGCAGAATTTGGACGGCAAATTTTTTCCCTGAATATGGTTAATTGAGCGTACGCTGCGGCGCAAGCGAGAGAGTTACCGGAGGCTGCCTCTCTCTCTCTCTGTTTTTTTTTTTTGCACTCGCGAATCTCCCGGGCCGTCGAGTCTCTCCGCCTAACGATGTGTATCCATGAAAGGATTGCAATTTGTTAACTGGGCCAACAATTTGCGGCTGCCCACGCATGACGAGGAGCATCGTATAATCAATCTTTTTTATTCATATTATTGCCGGGACGACGAGCAGTGACTGCTATTTGTATACGGCTCTTTCCTTTTCGGGTTGTCTCTCAAATTATAATACTTCATATTTCTTACGATCGCAAAGATTTATAGCAGTAGTTATTAATTATATTTTCTAAAGGAATACGGAGTGCGGGAGATCACGAAATTTTCGCGTATGCTATTACGCTAACAGAATGCCTGTGAATAAAAATATATATATATAATTTTTTTTTTTTTTTAAATAACTGCTTCTAGTCGAAAAACGTAACCCTAAACTGCCATCTTTGGCGGTTCACGAGCTGCTTTTTGCGCCGCAGCTTCTTACCCATTTTTTATCGCGCAAGAAATCGGGCTATTCATCCAGGCCGCAGAATTTTCGTTCATCGCGTCTCCATTTCGGGCGAAATAAACGTCTCGCAGTAATTCGCAACGCCACCACCGAGCGAGATCGCCGACGGAGACAGAATACGACGGCGAACGCACAGAAGAGCCGCAGAAAGAAAGAGAGGAGAAAGAGAGGGCATATTTCAGGAGCGAAACTTAATTTGCCCCGAAGTGTGCCACGGAACTCGAATCGATTCAAGAGCCCTCGAACCTCGGAGAGCCTCTAAGCGACGGCGCGTGCCTCAATCGGATGCCATTGAGGTTCCTCTCCTTTCCTCGTCATGCGATAATTGAGAGGCATCGATTGTGTAGCGGCTCTTTCGATCTCGCCCTGTTTCCCCGAGTCTCGCGAACAGTTAGAATTCGTTCCGCTGACGACCACCTACAAAGTAGGCTTCTTCGAAACACTCCCGGAATATAGCACCTGATTCGGAAACTATACGAACGCAAGTTTCCAAAGAGAGCGACGGTATCGGACAGTGAACTGCTACACATGCGCGCGAGACGTTTACGCGCATGAAAGTGGATGGGAGCAGTCTTTTGTACAATTACACAAGTATAATGAACGAATTCACTCACCGATCGTTGTACGCCAGCTAAGCACGCTTTCAGCTGCACCTGAAAAATTAATATACATTAATATACATTTTAATTATTATAAATTATATCATATATTTTCTGTATATTTATTATTATGTATTATTTAATGATTTTTAATGTGCTTAAAACATAACTAAATAAATTGCATAAGTAATTATTCAAAAGTTTTGATGAATATTTAATAAATATTTTAACAAATATGTTTATTCGCAAATATATCATCAAGATAAATACGTACGTATTAAATATGTATTGTTAAAAAAGGATTCCCAAACTTATATAAAATTTAAAAATGAAGGGAAATATTGTTTTGACCAAAAAAATATAAAATAAGTATGACGAAATCGCGAATTAGTAGTAAATTTATTATTCACGTAGTATTAAGCTGTTCTGCAAATTTTTAAATACATTACTTGCGTACAATTCGTCAAATTCAAATGAAATATACGTGCCAACCTAAAATTCGAATTCGGACCTCCATCTGCTTCGCATTTTTGTATAGAAATTTTTATATCTTTATCTAAATTTTCCTAAAGTTAAACAAACTCGTGAAGTAAATCCTTGATTTTGAAAAGTAAAATACGCGAATTGGGAGAGAGAGAAACTTTTATTCGACAGTGCGCGTAATTGCGGTATTCATCGATTCTTCAATGAAGCGGAACAATCTAAAGCGGGTGGAGCAGATTTTACAATACTTTAGACAGAATACAAATTACTATTATTTAAATATGTACAATTATGTACATACATAATTGTACATATTTAAACAACACGCGCAATTCCAATTACATACACACCGCAATTAGAATCAAGCTTCCACATCTTTTCTTTTGATTTTCCCTTCTTTTCTCCCTTATTTTCTCATAACTTCACATTTCTGACTACCTGATCACATTAAAATGAAAAGCGAGTGGAAAACGCGAAGACAGCATGCAGTACTATTGATCCGTTACCAAAGAGATCACGCTTGGTTTGCTCTGATGTTATCTGTCTATATTAAAATTATTACATGGTATCTCTTGTCTTTCAATAGCTCTCTCACTTCAACGTCATGTTGTTAGATAAATGAGAAATGGCGGGAAGACAGTGAAGAGTAGAAAAAAAGAAAGGAAAAATGGAAAGAAAAAATAGGGAAATTCGACTGTAGGTGAACATCGTAAGTTCCTTTTACTCTCTTTTCCACTCCCACCCCCCCCT